ATATCAAATAAATTAATAAATACATACACCTTGAACTCAAAATATATAGGTTACATGGTTTGAAATATGAATAGCTTATTTAGCTTGCGAAAATATTTGTATCGTTTTGGGGTTAATTTTAATATCTTAAAGGGGTATGTATGTACTAATAAAGGAGGATTTCATTATTCTGATGATTTTTTTACAAAGTAGAATAATCTGAAGAATCTCATGTGTTGTAAAAAGAGGTGTGATAATCGGCCTCAAAACACAGCTCTCACACATTCATTTTAATATGTATGTTAAGGGTAATAACCTCTTAAAACGAAAAGTTGTATTTTCATTGCTATTGAAAAATGCTTGCGCTTTTTTTTTTAGCTTCCTCCTGCGCATCTAATCCTTCATAAGTTGTTGCCTAGACGTGCGAGGTCTGGCTTCAGGAAGTTTTTATAACAAACATTTCTAAGCCATCTGGATGCCGGGGCTTGTTGCTAACCACGCTGGGGCCGACTAGGTTGGCATTTCAATTACGCTGCGTCTTAACAGCACTTTTGGCGGCTCTTTTGGGAAGCAAACACGAAAGCAACAACAACCCTCCATCAAGCAAAGAGAAGGGCACATCACAACATTTATCGTACAACTGGCATTCTCCCCCTTCAAGTTATAATTCGACCACACTGCTTATAATTTTGCCGCCAATTGCCTTTGTTAATATTTGCTGCATTCGCAATTTGGCACTCTAATGAAGCCATCACCAGGCAGCCTCAATCCGGAGCCCACTTGGGAGTCTTCCATGCGCGCACTTACCACTTGGGGGTGTCAGTATTTTGCGTGCTCTACACCCCTCCACTCCACTCCACTCCAGACGTTTTGTTTGCCCGGCGTGCGCGATATCGCATTGCAAATCGTGCGACACGTGACCGCAAAAGGCGAAAAAATAAAAAAATATATAAATCGGGCAGCAAAAGTGTCGTCCATGCTTAGAATCTGAGTCTGCCATGCTTAATAGATTTTTGATTTGTTTGTGTGACGTTGGTAAATCCAATTGTGCGACGTGGCGACGATGGCGCTCTGATTGGAATAATGATTTGCCAGAATGCTTCAAATTTATGTTTTGGCCTGGCCTTCAGCTCTCAGCGGAAATTGCAGCTGCGTGGCCACATCCTCAAATACATATAATCGTATATACTGTATACGTATACTCGTATATGTGTACAAATACGCATTGAAAATCAATACGCAGCGCAAACCTAGCAGAATAATTCAATAAAGAAATCAAGAAAACTTGAAAACAAAGCGTGTCCGTATCCATTGCGGCTTCATTTTGTGCTTCAGCTCCAGCCATCCAGCCATCCAGCCAGCCAGGCAGTGAGCCAACCAACCAGTCAGCCAGCGAACATTTTTGTTGAGGGTCAGTCAGTGTGTTGTCTTGTTTTTGTTTTGCAATGCCGGTCCGGGGGGGTTCTAGGTAGAAGATTAAAAGCAAATGAAAGTTTGTGTCTTGCTGCTTTCGGTGCTTTCTTTTCGGGGTAACATTTTACAAATTGTTTCAATTAAAAAGTTTACTGATTTGGCGCACGTGGGCATGAGGATGGCGATGGCGGCTTCTTTGCCATTGGGACTCTTCTTTCTAATCGGCTTTCGAGAACGAAAATGAAGCCAGCGTGCGATTGACACGTGCACGCTCAAATGGTCACTAATTGCCCCAGACAGTTTATATGTTGGCAGATCGAAAGCAGCTACACTAACAACCACAACATCATCTGCCGCAGGGGTAACCACAACGAAGCATTACTCTGTTTTTTTTTTACACGAGTACCCTGTAGGGCAAAAGGGTATACTAGAAAGGTATTGAATGTGACAGACAGAGGCAGACGTGGCAGATCTGATATTATATGTATATAGCATGTACACGTATATTATCAGACAGATGAGACGAAGCTATATACTACAGACCCTCCACCACGAACACAGAGAAACACAACAGCTAGAGACACACTGCTGATCTATAAGCAGATGAAGTTAATGAAGTTAATCATAAACTGTTAGGTGCATAAACCACTTTTAGTAATAATAACTGTTTTTAATTTATTTCACACCACATTACTACTGTACATACTTCGTTTTTTATAGTGTCTTGCCTTCATCTGAAGCTTCATCTTTATCGGTGCACTCTGTATCATCAGGCTGTCAAATAAACGACTCTTGCAATGAACTGTATTTTAGTTGAAGGACTGTGACTGAGAGTTGGGCGGGTGCAGAGTATGAATTAGTCGGGCTTGCTCGTCTTAAATCTTCTCTACTTTTTTTTTTCATTTTTAAAAATTTCATGAATTTTATCTGGCCTTCGCCGAGCATTTTTATAAGTCAACCGTTAATTTGATTGCATAACAAGTTGGGGCTAATTGAAAATTGGGCTGGCAGAGCAGAGCTGAGCAGAGCACAGAACCCAACCAGTCAATTAATTAAATATAATCACACAGAAAGTTGGCGCACATCTGACCTTGTCATTATCGCCAGCGTATCGTCAATGTGGCGTAAAGGCGAACAATTTGGAGGCGCTAATTAATTTAATTGATTTAAGCATTTTCGCCTTTGCTAACCACATGTGCATTGAGTGCATTATCTGTTTGTTTGTTCAAATAAAATTGACTTGTAATTAAAAAGTTTTTGTAGTTGCTTGAAAGAAACCCTAGAGTGCATCAATGTGTGTGTGTGTGTGTGTGTATGGTGATGCGCAAGTTTTTTCCAAACAATAGCTGCCAATAGTGAAAAAGGAAGGATGCGGAGCAAGTACGGCTTATAACATACTATTATGTTAATAAACAAGTGAAAACACTAGAGTCGGGTAACCCGACAACTATGTAGAATAATTAATTAATTATAAGTCCATAAAATATAAATAAAAAACAAACAATAAAAACATAATTATACAAAAAAATGTTGAAGTGCTGAGGTCGGGTTCGGGTTCGAGTTCTTCACATTTACATCGGAATTGTGTAAATGTTGCCTATGTGTTTCTGTGCATGAGTATGTGTGCAGTACAGAATTGGACAGAGATAACTATTAGGGCTTCCTTTCAAATGGACCTACTTGATAAAACTTGGTTCATCAAGACAATAAACTGTGTGTAAAATTTCGTGCCTCTAGCTGTAATAGTTTCTGAGATCTACGAACGGACGAACAGAGTATAAAAGTGTTTTTTGATTTTAGGGGAAATTTTCTCTTTCATGTTTTTGCGAATTTACTTGCTAGTATAAGAGTCGAGTTGGAAGACTCTTATATCAACTCACGTATGACACGCAATGTTGCACTGACCTAGGTCATTACAAAGCTTACTATATATAGTTGGATTAGTGCATATCAAGTCGGTAAACTGGAGTGGCACGGGAATAAAGCTTAACACCTTTAATACAATTAACATTATTGTAGACCAATTTAATGAAATCCTTCTACAATAGTTATAAAGTTCATGTATATTTTAGGCAAATAATTTTGCATCATGTTATGAGGACTTTTTTTTTAATGTAAGTAAGAATTGTATAGAGCTTCAGATTATATTTTTATTAATAGTTCTTAATATATAGATATATAGTGTCCTTACGAATTCTTAGTATTAAAAATCTAAGTAAGTTTTTAAATTGTTCAGTTTTCATAATTCACAAAGATAAGAATTAAAAAATTAAAAAAAAAACTATAAACTATAGATAGATTTAAAAAGAATCAAGCAGCTTCTTACTTAAAAAATATAAACAAACATAAGACACATGCTGCAACAATTTCGTGCACCAGTAATTCTTTCAGAAACTTACATACGTATAGCGCTCTTTACCTCGAAGAGTATCTTTTACAATAGCGTGCTCTTTTTTGTGGCGTTTGTGGTGTTGAGGTGCCTGCCGAAGCGTGGGACGAAGACAGCTTCGTGCGGCTGTTGGCAGACATTGGCATTAGCCGAATTCTTGTTCTGCCTTGGCCACGAGCGTTCAGTTCTATCCTGAAAGTCGAGTGCGAAGCACGCGTTTTTGATTTATAGTGCGGTGTCGGTGTATCTGAATAATGTGTGTAGCGCAAGGGCTTAATGAGTTTGAACCTCTACCATAACAACAGTAACAACAACGATAAAAACAACAACATCAAGTGGATTGTCAAGTGTGCGTGTGTCACAGATTGTTGTGCTTCGAAAGTGCAATCAGAGTACAATGCAATTAGTTGAGTAATCAGTTACAAGCCGATTTGCTTCGCATGTCAACAAAAACCGCTAGAGAAATTGAATCAATTCGAAAGGAACGCTGCTTCAACGACATCACAACGAAGCATTCGTCGTTCAATCACTGTTGATGATTGGGACCGTGACAGATAAATAGTCAAAGGAACATCAGAAACCCATTTTGTAAATTTTCGGAATAGACAGCCAGCGTGTGCTACAAGTTTTTGCATCAATTGACAGCAACAATAACAGTATCGGTCTACTGAAATGAAAACATTTCCGTGCTTGCTATATAGCGTGTGAAAAGCGAAAGTGTTGTCACTACAGGCGACAAGATAAATTACTCAAAGTATGATAACCCAAATGACAACAAAATTGCGTTAGTTTTGTTGTTGTTGTAGGCGCTCATCTGGGCGATAATCCTTGGAAGGTATGTAATTACTCTGTCTGGGTTATAAATTACTAGTCGTGTGTTTGTAAATTAGTGCGCGCGTGTGTGCAGGAAAGCATTGCATACTTTTTGGCCGCCGCGTTAAAAGCACATTGCGTGATTTATGGTGTTGTGATTGAAATGTGCGTGTGTACGTGAGTGCGGCGAGCGCGTGAAAACAATTGTGTAGCACCAAATGAGTAGCAAGAACTTTTGAAACAAAAGTGTGAAAAACACGATTTAAAAGAAAGAAAAAGAAAGAAGAATTTAAATCACAAAATAACATTACAACACAAAATAAGATTTTGACGCATCAGCGCATAAACAAGCAAATAAAATTTGTTTATCAGTTTCAGGATACAAAAAAAAGAGAATAAAGTTTACCACGTGCGCCCGCGTAAAGTGCGGAAAGTGCGAAGAAATGATCAGCTTCTGGTTGAAAGAAGAAGGAAAAAATATGTAAAGAAAAAACAATGGGAATAACAGCAAGGAACACGCAACGCTGAGCAAGCACTTTGGAAAGCACTAAAAACACGCAATAGAACGCGTACCATAGGCAACGAACAAGATAAGCAAAAATACAGAAGATAGAATTGCCTGTATAAGGCGGCAGTTCATTTTGCAATTGGTCCCGTGTGAGCGTTTAACACAGCAACAACAACAACAACAACAACAACAGCAACTAGGGCCAATAGCAAGAGCGATAAAAAGCGGAAACTGGCGTTACCGAATTACAAAACACGGCATCTACGTTTGTTATATATTTATGTGGGTCAGTGTTCTCTATATATAATTTGTCGCAATCATTAGTGGGCCCTTTCACAAGGCTGACCACAAACTCTCATCGAAAGCTGCGAATTGCTGACGCTTTTCTGCGCAATAAGCGTGAATTTCTGCAACACAACAACAAGTGTAAGAGCCAAGAACAGTAACAAGCAACACCATAAACGACAAAGCGTCTCCGCAATAATAATAAAGTACGGATAACAACAACGTCTACAAGACGCCAAATTCAAAATGTACGCCCACGCACATTTCAGAGCCCGATCCAAACAGCACCACCACCAGCAGCCGCAGTCAGCCACTTTTGGATTACTCTACCAATGGCTCAGCTGGCTGATTTTGTGCGCCGAGATTAAAGGTGAGTGTGTTCGCAAGGTCGGGCATTCTACAATTCGCATTTGGTATCTTGTGCCGGGCTTTTTAATTAAATAATCCAATTTATTTCCATTTAATTTCTAATTAAATTTAATTTGTGTGTGTGTATGCTCGAGAGTCCTAATTGCTGCTGCCCTTGAGTCCTGCCCCTGGCTGATATTTTCTTTTCCTTTCTGTCGTTTTGCATTTCCCGTTCAATTTCCGCGCTTTGGCGTTTGTATGAAAAAGGGCGTCAAACGTAAGCGCGACACAAAACAAGAAAAAATAAAAAAGGGAGGGAGAAAGAACGAGGGAATGTTTCACAATTGAAATTCTTTAATTTTTGTGCGAGGAATTTCAATTTGCCCGGCGCCGCAGTGCACAAAAGTTTTGCTCACCAAAAAAGCCAGGAAAGTTGTTAGAGCCAATGTATTTGTGTGTACTGCTTGCTTACTCCTTCCGGACCCGTTCGTAACGGCCACATGTTTGTTAAAGGTTTTTCCTCGTGTTCCTTCCCGATTAATGGCACAACAACAACATTTTTTGACGGTATGGTTATGGCATGCGTCGCAATCCATTCGCGAGTTAATTGTGCTTGACTTTTTCACGATGTGGCGTGCCGCTTGGATTAAAAGCTACTAGCCGCATTATTTTTGTTGGCCTTGTTGTTATTGTAGATACTCGTATAATAAAATGCTCTCGGAAATTATGTAAACTGCCGTTTTGCATAATTATTTCATATATACGAGTTGTATGCCGTGCGCATGCAATTAAATGCGTGCGCTCCTGAAAGCAAACACCAGAAATATGTACAAATGGGCTTTTTGTACGGAGCAATAAATGATTTTTATGCAAAACGCACACATCGCACATGCCATTTCTTCTTGTCCTTCTATTTTTTTTTTGAAGAACCCAAAACCAAAAACCAAATGCAATTGCAAACTGTTTGCGGCAAATGTGTCGTTCTGTCGTCCTGCTTCATTCATACACGCGCACACACACATATACTATATTAGTTTTAACATATGTATGAGTGAATGCATGTAAGTGTGCGTAGGTTTGAAGGTCGTGCCAGCAATCAGTTTGAGTGTTGAGTGCTGCTGGACCGGGCATGTGGGCGTGGGCCCCTGAACTGACTCTGAATGGCGCCCATCAGCTTAACACTTGTAGTCTGGCTAACGCCGGCGATAGACATAGCCCGGCCATGACACTGAGAAAATTGTAGGTGACTGGATTTAGCAATGACAAAATTCCATGAAACCATATTCATTTGAAATCCTATAATTGTTCGTGAAGTATTTGGGGATGGAAGCAGTGCATCAAAGTTTCTTGACCGTTGGTTCACGTTTTCTCCATTTAAATTTTCTTTGCTTTAATTTTGAATATTTAACTTCAAAACGTTATTTTTTAGCCAGATGAATGAGAAATACCAGATGTAACAATTTCAAGGAAAAAGGCAGAGAAATAAAAGAGCTTTTTATCTAGTCTTTATAATTGGTTTTTGGAACATATCTCCTTTCTATCAACTAAAAAGACAGCCCTCGTCTTAAAAATGTAATGAACACAATTATACTGTCAACGAAACTCAACTTATATACTAAGAATATGCATTTTAATACATTTTATCAAGCTGACCAATTCAATCAAGTAAAAGGATAAAAAAGTAATTGGATTAAACCTTTTGCAGATGCAGTCTGCGCTAACTGGACTGCTGTGCATTCAAGAGTGCATATAAATAAACAATAAACTTTCTCCAATTATGTTCGGCTTTAAGCTATTTTAAAACGAGATATTTATGTTGAGAATTTGTAAAATGAATTTTTCTAACTGCAGGCGACGCTGGCAGGCGGCAGCTGAACAAATGTCGAGCGCAGGGCCATCTCACAAACACTTTCATGTGTTTATGCAAAAACATATACAAGTATATATATATATATATATATATATATATATATATATATATATATATATATATATATATATATATATATATATATTTCTATACATATATGAAAGTATCTACATATAATGCATCGTAACACTGACACAAAATTTCATTTTCAATTCAGGCATGTGCTTGGGTGCCTGAGAAAAATGGACAGCCGGAAAATGAAAAGTGCACAAGAGTTAGAGAGAGCTGAAAAGAAACAAAAAATACAACTAAACTAAACACACACACACACACACATGTAACATAGCGTAACAGACCAACTAACGAGAGCCAGACACTTGTAAATGCATGACGTTGTCATTGCCGTTGCCTGAGCAAGTGCGAGTATTTGTAGTTGCTGTTTGCTGATGCTGTAGTTGTTGGTGTTGTTGCTTCAGGCCAGTGTTGCTGCCTTTGGTCAGGGTCGTCAGTCATTGCAGCTGGCATATGAAGTTGTTGTTGTTACACTTGTTGTTTATGCAACAACCGCAAACAAACACATATTTGTGTGTGTGTGTGAGTGTGTTTCTCTCTCTATATATTTGTCAGTTGTCCCCTGTCCCTTTATCGGTGAAGTACATGCAATTCTTTCAACGTACGTTTTTCGCACTCAAGTACGAGTAGTTTCATATTTTGCTGCTCATTTAATTTGCTCCCCCATCATCATACAAAGCACATTTCATCACAATCATCATTTTGTCTTTGTGCCTGTCGTCGACATACATATTGTTTGCCATCCCCGCGCTTTGTAATTTTGCAAATGAAATGCTTTGAAATGCAATTTTCTACAATTTGTTGCATTGTTTGCCATTTACTTGCAACGGCACTTCATTTTGCTAAAAGCTATTTTCCAGCTGAAAACGCACTGTCGGAATTCAAAAGACTTGGTTGCTTGAATTTAATTGAAACATTTGTTCTGCAATGCACTGCAAAGGTAAATAACTGAAGTAATTCATGTGAGTTTGAAAATGTAAATATATAAATAAGTTTTACATAATGATTTTTTTTTTTTATTTTTATTGTTTGGCCGGCTCGAGGTCAGAGTAAGAAAAACCAATTTATTTAATTTTCTTTTCTTTTTCCGATATATTTCGGTTACGCCACCGAAATATATCGGAAAAAGAAAAGAAAATTAAATAAATTGGTTTTTCTTACTCTGACCTCGAGCCGGCCAAACAATAAAAATAACTATGAGGAAGGTCACCAAAATACTCAACAGTTTTACATAATGTTGAAGGGGGACTAAACACCAAGTTTACTCAATTTATAAATCCAAATAGATGAAAAGTATGTATGTCTATGCTATAAAAGCCAGTTTTGATCGCCAAATAAGTCATAACTAAGAACTCCATGTAACTTGTCTGCAAAACAAACCAAAAGCTTACTCCCCGAGACAAACAAATATGTTATTCGTCGTAGCTCAACGTTTCATGTCCAAAATTTTGTGCGTTGCAAGCGTTTTCAAAACTCCAACATAGTACAAGTATACTCTAAACGACTGTATCTGATGTGTTTACCACATCCGACTCCTGCTGGTTGCAAACATGGGGCGAAAAACAGGACGAGTGTTGATGTTAGCATTGCAGTGGCAACACATGAAAAATGTTGGCTTTCAAATGGCTGTCGGAGCAAAGTTTGCAAATACGTATAGTAGAGAGCCGTAAGTACAGCTAGTCGTCTTCAAAATAATATTTTACCTCTTTTTCGGCAGTCTGTGTGTAAATACAATTAAAATTATTTATGAGAATGGCTGTGGCCAATTATCGTATATATTCCACATAGGATTTTAATTTGGAGGTGCGAATGTGATTTTTCCTGGTTTATCAGAAAAAAAGGGGTTTCTACACTTCCCTCTTGTTATGGGGTAGATTTTTTTTTTGGTGAATAAGCTTGTACTTGTAACACCCAGCAGGAGGAATGTTAGATCACATGAATATGAAAATGATAGTGAAAATACTTCGCGCCTTGGCTCCTTCCATCACGTTCATACTTGTAGTTACTAATTAATGAGACCTGTTCATGCAAATTTTTAACCTGTGCTACAAGCATTCATGGGGGGTGAAACAGAATATATATCTTACAATAAAATACGTGATTTTGGTAGTGAATACATTTTTACGATCCTCGTGACTGCAGCCCCATATTGGTACTGTACTTTTACTACTCCGAAACATTCTTAAAGATTTGAATGAGTTAATCTTGGTAGCTACGAGTACTGGTAACAAAACTGTTGCTTTTTGAATGCCGGACTTGCTGCGAGCAGTTGATGTTTTCCTGAACTATTATAATAAGTTTTTAGTGCGGCACTACAATTGTCAACCCAGGACTGTCCCGGAAAATACAGTTATGCAGTTTTAGAAAAGTTAGCCGACTATTCCTAAATTTCAGCTAAAAAATTGCACCGATTTAATATCCAAACTGGCCATAGTGACTGAAAAAATCGTTATTTAAAAGAGTCTGATGTGTTCGGTTAGCTAACTAAATAGTTTTAGCTTGTATTTAATATTTATTTCCTTTAGATGTGCACAGATATGCGAAATTGATTTCAGTAGATAAGAGTTGGCGCTTAAATAAATGCAATTGCAATTATATTGTTAAAATATTTTGCATGAATTGTGTTGCACGCAGTTAGGAAAAACATTTCTATAAACATTAATTAAATGCCCCAAAAGTGGTAAATATTATAAAAACCAATAATAAAAAGTTACATTTATATTAAAACACAGACTTCTGTGCACAAACACGCATATGCGTATGTATATATTATGTATATGTATGCATATGTATTTTTAAGCGACATTGCGTAAATGTGTATGCTTTTTTTAAATTTTTGTGTGTATTTGTAAAGCAACAAATGCAAATTGTAGTTATTTACTCAGCTGTTCGTCATTCAATGCAAACAAATACGCGGCTGGCGAATTTTTTGTCTGCCCGCATATTTATAAGTTTTCGAATACTATATGCTTATAGGATTTTTTATCAGAAGCTGAAAAAGCGCCGGGATTTTGCACAAATGCAGTTTAAAACATTTGCAATATACGAGATTCACATTTGATTTGTAAAATAATAAAATA